CTCCTATTTGCCCTTCCAGCTGGGCGGGATGCAGCAGTAGTACTTGCAGTCGGAGGAGAAGGACCACTCGTCCACCTTGGAGCACTGGCTGGAGCAGTACCCCACCTTGGGGCAGTGCTTCCTTACCTGCCCAGAGCCTGCAAGGGGGAGAGAGCGGGACAGTGGTTGGGTCAGGGGAGGTGCCCCCATGCCCCGCTGTCGTGCCCTCCCAGCACCTTCTGGTGTGAGCGTGGCAGGGGTCAGAAGGATGAGGTCCTGCTCGTAGGGAGGTCCTGCCCCGTCCTCCCACATGTGCACCACCCCTGCCCCAGCCCAGCCCCAAAGCAGGAAGGGACCTTGAAGAGCACAAGCCTGAGAAACTCCCTGTGCATCCCTCTGCCCCCAGCTGATGACACAGGGCCAGATGGTGACACAGGTGCAGTCTGGGACAGAGATGCTCCCAGGGAGGGCACATTCATTCCCCTCATGAGAGACAGCCCAAAAGCAAAGTTCATAGAGATGCTCATCTGTGCAAGTTTATAAAGATGCTCATCTGCATGCATGTGTTTTTCCCTGTCTTGTACCTCTCCTTAAGGGACAGAATCAGTGTTCTCAGAGCAAAATAGCAAAAGCCACATCAATCTTATTTCAAAAACTTTGATGTCCACTCAGCTGCCTGTAGTTGCATCATGATTTTAAAAACTGTCCTCTTATCCAGAAAAGGCAGAAAGGTTTTGAAACTGGCCCCACAGCAACCTTGCACCAAATAGTCACCGTGGTGGTTAAATGTGGGCCAGCTGAAAGACTTGGCCCAGGTGGACGAGAATTGATATCTGAGGAGAGTTTCTAATGCTTGTCTGAGAGATCCCAGTCCAGAATCCCATTTCAACTCTTGTAAAGGAACCAGAAAGCCTTGGAGTCTCAGAAACAGGCATTAGCCGCAATAGTTATGTCACATCAGTAAATCCAATGTGCCCAGGACTGTTGCTTGACACAGAAACTGAGTTGCACAGAAGAGTTCCCTCTGGTACTATGAACCTCTCTGAGTCCCCAAGAGAAGTGGCCACATCCAGACTCTTGTTAGGGAATTGCCTGGCCTGGGCTCAGTCCCAAACTGGATACTGAAGTTTTAACCTCAGTTATTTCTACAGAAATCTCTCTGAGGTAGTTCTTATTTCATTGTCCCTTGAAAGAAGTCATCAAAATGCTGGGGGGTTCAGCTGGAGAAGAGAAGGCTCCGGGGAGACCTTAGAGCGGCCTCCCAGGGCTGAAAGAGGGGGTGTAATAAAGATGGGGACAGACTTCTTAGTAGGGCTTGTTGTGATAGGACAAGGAGTAGTAGTTTTAAAGTAAAAGAGGGTAGATTCAGGCTAGATATAAAGAAAACATTTTTTACAATGCAGGTGGTGAAACACTGGCACAGGTTGCCCAGAGAGGTGGTAGATGCTCCATCCCTGGAAACATTCACTGTCCCTTGAAAGAAGTCATTAAAGTACCTGACCAGGTTATAGCAGTCACCTCAGTTGGGAATAACTATAGTTTTAAGAGCTAAAGTTACTTTAAAAGAATTCCAGTTAGTATCAGCTCATCTTGCCCAGTTCGTCATCTTACCTGGAGTGGCCAGGGAGACCAGTAGGAAGACAGCGAAGACAAGGTAGAGGAACCTCATGGTTGGAGTTGAGCTGGGATCTCAGCAAGGCTGGAGAGAGAAGTCTCGGAGAGAGCTCGAAGGGAGGAGGTGGTATAGATGGAGGCTGCGGCTGCCGGTTTTTATAGAGCTTTTCCTTGCAGAGCAGAGGATGCTGGGGAGACATGGGAATTCATCCAAGTCGAGCCGATTGTGGCACAAGCACCAGAATTTCCCACGTGTGCTGGCAGCCCCCTCCTTCCCCCAGCTCTGGTTACCCAATATCAGATACGATTTCAGCCCAGTGGCTTTGATGAGAGCACAAATGAATAGGGGCTGTCAGTAGCAGAGTTGTTAGGACTGAGCTGATGGGTCAGAGGGACCCGATGGAGATCTGCAGGTATAATGATGAGAGGAGAACAAGATCAGTATCACAGGGTTTCAGGCCTTTCCCAACCTCTGGCAGGGATGCAGCTGCATGCAATAGGGCTGAGCTGTGGCCGCAATGCACTGATAACTCTCCCTCCATTGTCCATCCTGGTCACAATGTGGGGCTGATGGCTTGGAAAGGACCCATGTTCCCATCTCTACTTGTGAAAGGAACCATGTCTGCAAAATCTCTCTGATAAATTTAGCAAACACCATGTTCAATGTAGTCTCTTTTGTTGTCCCCCCTCGCCCCTGAGATGGATGGATGGATGGATGGGCAGGAGCGCTGGGGCTGAGAGCTCCCAGGACTCTGGCTGAGCTGACCACTTGAAGACACTTTGATCATCACCTCTTCCTCACAAACCCCCCAGCCAGACCTGAGGTTTCAAACATGAACAGAGCTCTGCAAAGGAGCTTTTCCAACCCCAGTTCACTGGGCTGTTTAATAGCTTTATAAACAGCCAGAAGGAAAAAAAAAAAAAAAAGAGGCGAAATTCTAGAGAAAATTAAAAATTATTTCCTATATTCAGAATAAAGTCACTGAAATATTCTGTTATTGCAGTGTGAAACAGTACCATCTTTCAGTTATTTTTCTTCAGGGTTTTCTGCTATAATACCTTCTAGAAAATGGCATTAATCAAGCAGACAGTTTGGCTTTTTCCGTTAATATTTTCTATTTTATTGACAGCTCCTGACAGTAGATTTGATGTTTGACAAGAATGCCTTTTCTGACAGACGGTTGCATCCAGTAAGGTTTCAAACAACTCTATTAATAAATTACTGAATATGCACTGTTTTGCACATGCAATTCTCCTTGAAAATTGAGGGTGTAGTGTCAGCCTCTGCCTGGACAGGGATGCCCAATAGCTGGAGTGATGGAGCAGGACAGACAGTGGCCTCCATGGCCACTGGGAGAGCAGGGCAGAGCTAGTGACAATAGTAAGTGTCATCTGAGAGGCCAGTGACCACTGGGTAAGTCACAGGGTTGAGGCAGGCCTGAGGCCAAGCTGAGATGTCTTGTCTGGCAGCCAGGACCAGAAGGGTGAGTGGCTGGGCACCGTCATGGTCACAGCTGTGGGGAGCTTCACTGTGACTCCTGAGCTCCTGAATCAAGGAAAGGGGGCTCTACTGAGACATCTCCCAGCTCTTTCTCACATGGCTCTGTCCCAGGAGCATGATGTAAGGGCACAAGATATCAGGGCTGGCCTTGAGGACAGGCAGACAAAGGCGGGGGGCAGCAGAGGCTGTTGCTGCACGCAGGGTTTCCCCAGCACTAGCTCCCCATTTCTCCCACGGAAACTGAGAAATTTCCAAGCTATAAAAGCTGGATTGAATCACAGGCCCACCCTGAATCTGATTAGAAGAGGAAATCACGCTAACAGACAGACAGCCATAACAAAGAAATTGTCATACAGTTATAGGAGAACACTCCAGCACAGGGATGCGGTGTCAAGAATGATATTGTATCAGGATCTTGCAGGATGACTACTTC